ACGGATCCACGCGGACGGGGATGGATCCCCCGCAGACACAGGCAGATGGAGCTGGATCTCCCATGGACAAGCGGACAGGGCCGGATCCCCCACAGACACACACGGATGGGGACGGATCCCCCACGGACACGCAGACCCATGCAGACAGGGCCAGATCCCCCACGGACACACACAGATGGAGATGGATCCCCCATGGACACACACGGACCCACATGGACAGGGCCGGATCCCCCACAGACACAGGCAGATGGGGCCGGATCCCCCATGGACATGTAGACCCAGGCGGACGGGGCCAGATCCCCCATGGACCCTTGCGGATGGGGCTGGATCCCCCAAGAACATGTGAACCCATGCGCACAGGGCTGGATTCCCCACAGACACGCATGGACGGGGTCAGATCCCCCATGGACCCATGTGGATGGGGACGGATCCCCCACAGACATGCAGACCCACGCGGATGGGGCCACATGCCCCATGGACCCACACAGATGGGGCCGGATCCCCCATGGACCCACGCAAATGGGGACAGATCCCCCACGAATATGTGGACCAATGCAGATGGGGCCAGATCCTCCATGGACCCACGCGGCTGGGGATGGATCCCTCATGGACATGTGGACCCACGCGGATGGGGACAGATCCCCCACGAATATGTGGACCAATGCAGATGGGGCCAGATCCTCCATGGACCCACGCGGCTGGGGATGGATCCCTCATGGACATGTGGACCCACGCGGATGGGGACAGATCCCCCACGAATATGTGGACCAATGCAGATGGGGCCAGATCCTCCATGGACCCACGCGGCTGGGGATGGATCCCTCATGGACATGTGGACCCACGCGGATGGGGACAGATCCCCCACGAATATGTGGACCAATGCAGATGGGGCCAGATCCTCCATGGACCCACGCGGCTGGGGATGGATCCCTCATGGACATGTGGACCCACGCGGATGGGGACAGATCCCCCACGAATATGTGGACCAATGCAGATGGGGCCAGATCCTCCATGGACCCACGCGGCTGGGGATGGATCCCTCATGGACATGTGGACCCACGCGGATGGGGACAGATCCCCCACGAATATGTGGACCAATGCAGATGGGGCCAGATCCTCCATGGACCCACGCGGCTGGGGATGGATCCCTCATGGACATGTGGACCCACGCGGATGGGGACAGATCCCCCACGAATATGTGGACCAATGCAGATGGGGCCAGATCCTCCATGGACCCACGCGGCTGGGGATGGATCCCTCATGGACATGTGGACCCACGCGGATGGGGACAGATCCCCCACGAATATGTGGACCAATGCAGATGGGGCCAGATCCTCCATGGACCCACGCGGCTGGGGATGGATCCCTCATGGACATGTGGACCCACGCGGATGGGGACAGATCCCCCACGAATATGTGGACCAATGCAGATGGGGCCAGATCCTCCATGGACCCACGCGGCTGGGGATGGATCCCTCATGGACATGTGGACCCACGCGGATGGGGACAGATCCCCCACGAATATGTGGACCAATGCAGATGGGGCCAGATCCTCCATGGACCCACGCGGCTGGGGATGGATCCCTCATGGACATGTGGACCCACGCGGATGGGGACAGATCCCCCACGAATATGTGGACCAATGCAGATGGGGCCAGATCCTCCATGGACCCACGCGGCTGGGGATGGATCCCTCATGGACATGTGGACCCACGCGGATGGGGACAGATCCCCCACGAATATGTGGACCAATGCAGATGGGGCCAGATCCTCCATGGACCCACGCGGCTGGGGATGGATCCCTCATGGACATGTGGACCCACGCGGATGGGGACAGATCCCCCACGAATATGTGGACCAATGCAGATGGGGCCAGATCCTCCATGGACCCACGCGGCTGGGGATGGATCCCTCATGGACATGTGGACCCACGCGGATGGGGACAGATCCCCCACGAATATGTGGACCAATGCAGATGGGGCCAGATCCTCCATGGACCCACGCGGCTGGGGATGGATCCCTCATGGACATGTGGACCCACGCGGATGGGGACAGATCCCCCACGAATATGTGGACCAATGCAGATGGGGCCAGATCCTCCATGGACCCACGCGGCTGGGGATGGATCCCTCATGGACATGTGGACCCACGCGGATGGGGACAGATCCCCCACGAATATGTGGACCAATGCAGATGGGGCCAGATCCTCCATGGACCCACGCGGCTGGGGATGGATCCCTCATGGACATGTGGACCCACGCGGATGGGGACAGATCCCCCACGAATATGTGGACCAATGCAGATGGGGCCAGATCCTCCATGGACCCACGCGGCTGGGGATGGATCCCTCATGGACATGTGGACCCACGCGGATGGGGACAGATCCCCCACGAATATGTGGACCAATGCAGATGGGGCCAGATCCTCCATGGACCCACGCGGCTGGGGATGGATCCCTCATGGACATGTGGACCCACGCGGATGGGGACAGATCCCCCACGAATATGTGGACCAATGCAGATGGGGCCAGATCCTCCATGGACCCACGCGGCTGGGGATGGATCCCTCATGGACATGTGGACCCACGCGGATGGGGACAGATCCCCCACGAATATGTGGACCAATGCAGATGGGGCCAGATCCTCCATGGACCCACGCGGCTGGGGATGGATCCCTCATGGACATGTGGACCCACGCGGATGGGGACAGATCCCCCACGAATATGTGGACCAATGCAGATGGGGCCAGATCCTCCATGGACCCACGCGGCTGGGGATGGATCCCTCATGGACATGTGGACCCACGCGGATGGGGACAGATCCCCCACGAATATGTGGACCAATGCAGATGGGGCCAGATCCTCCATGGACCCACGCGGCTGGGGATGGATCCCTCATGGACATGTGGACCCACGCGGATGGGGACAGATCCCCCACGAATATGTGGACCAATGGGAGAGGTGTTCGGGGCTGGCCCCGCACCTACAGGGGACCTCGCCGGTGCCAGAGCTGGTGCTCGCTGGCAAACACGTCGCCTGGCTCCTGCCAAGCTGAGCACCGAGCCCGGCTCCTGGACGCCGTCTGCTGCAACCCACCAAGCAAGACCCCGGTGGAGCAAACTCGCTGCAACTAGAGCCCTGAGGACACCCCGGATGGGCTGACGGCGCTATTCCCAAACACTGTTCTACCAGCAAAGGATGGAAGAAGCCGGACGGGAAGTGCCGGGCATGGACGAGCCATGGGAAGTCGCCAGGAGAAGCATCCCACTGGCTCCACGGAGGGAGGGAGCACGCAGCATCACGCGCCCGGCTCCCCGCGGGCTGTCAAAGGCGCTGGCGCTCTCCTACCTTCTTCAGGTTCTGGCCCAAGAAATCCAGCTCGGCCTGATTGTGCACCGAAACGAGCTCGGCCTGGAACCAGGTGCAGATGCGCTGGGCCTGCACCCACGTGGAGTGATGCTCGAAGAACTTGTACTCTGCGTCCTGGTACTTCACCCACTCTTTGCTGCCTGCGGGCAGAGAGGCATGCTCGAGACACGCTCTCCTACGCAGCTCCCGCTTGCCCCCCAGCCTGTCGCGAGCACCGCTGTTCTCTGTCCCCCTCAGTTGCCACTACGCTGGCAGGAGCGCCCCAGGAGCACGGCAAATCCCGTTCGACCCCAGGCCAGGACACCTGGGCCCACATCCCAGCTCCCATCCCTGGCATGACCCATCCTCTCCCTGCGCCTCGGCTGCCTCCTCTGGATGCTGCGGCGTGTTCCCGACTCCCCTTCAGCCGGGACCTTTGCGCACGCGTGGTTTTAAGAGCCTGGGATGGAAGATGCCCTGGAAGGGCGAAGTACACACAGACAAGATGGACAGACAGACCCGGGGATCTGCGAGGCCGGGCGCTAACGCACCTTGGGTCGTGATCTCCGGCTCCTTCACGTCGGCACCTACGGAAAGGGCGAGGAGAGGGCTGTGAGCCGGGGGACCCCGAACACTCGCCGCCTTGCTTGCAAACCGCACGCTCCGCCGCTGGCACGAAGCTTGCCCTGCACCCCCATCACCCGACGTAATAAGCCACCTTGGCATGCAACCAGCTCCGGGATCCCCGGAGCAAAGAAATCCCTTCCCAGGGCTCAGCACTGTTAGATGCAGATGAAGCAAAGAGCTCTAGCATTTGAACATAACCACTTTCTCATTAAAAAAACAAAACAAAAAAAACCCCATAACTCAAACCATTTGCCAGGCAAACCACTGTGCATTCGCTGGAAAAAGTTAGGCTCTGCCCCTGCCGTCCCCGCTGGGGCAAACGCTCTCCCGGTACCTTTGGGCAGCTTGCAGATCCAGTCCAGCTGGGATTCGCACTGCATCGGCATCCACTGCAAGGAGGCCAGGTCCAGCACGGCGCAGTCCCGGATGTCGTCGTCATCGTAGTTACTGCGGTCAAAGTTGTGGTAGAAGAACTGGGGGGGCCGAGAGAGAGGGGCAGAGTTGGGGGCCCCCGGGCGGGCGGATCCGCAGCGGGGGCAAAGCCAGCACCCGCTCCCGGCGTTTCGCACCACTGCCGCCCGCGTCTCAGCTTCCCAACGGAAGCAATAACCGCCGAAACGCCCCCAGGCGCCTCC